TAGTCATCATCAATATCAAGTTAAAAACTTAATTAAGCCAATAGAACCTTTAAAATAGATTTTAATTAGTCCTTTTAATTAAAATCTCTTATTTTTATACTCATCCAAATGCTCTCAAATTAAAATATGTTAAAGAACATGTCAAGACTTAATTTAAAAGCATATTACAAGTTAATTTCATGCAAGGTACATCCATGAGAATTAAACTTTCACAAAAGATAATTATTAAATAAAAAATGCAATTCTTATTCAAATAATTCCAATTTAATATATATTAACAAACATATCAAAGCATAATTTATCATCATGCCACAATTCAATTCTAAGCTATATACATCCTTGTAAATTAAATCTTATACAAAAAAATAAATACTACAAATTTTCTAGATTTGATATAAGGCATGCAAACAAATTGTATAATTATAGGAAACACTCAATACAACACATAAAAAATCCTAAAACACCTCCTACCTCAATTTGAGATGAAAATCTCAAAAGCCACCAAAATGAAACCGCTTCAAATCTAACGAAACTTCTAAGTTTTGTCGGGGACAACACGATGAATAAGAACCCCAAGAAAGTCCCATGAAAATCACAACTTGACTTCAAACCCGAACTTAAGAAATGGCCAAAACAAGATTTCAATCGGTGGAATCAAAGGCCTCGCCAAGACGAGCATAAAACACTAAGGCACTATGACTTTTTACTGAAAAAAAGAAGCTCAAAAGAAGAGAGAGCAGGTGGCAGCCATGGTTGCCATGGAATCTGGCCAAGAGAGAGGAGAGAGAGAGAGAAATATAATTTTTAACTTAAAGACCCCCTATTTATAGAAAAACTCAAAAAGTGTCCCGAACGGGCCTCGCCGGGTCCGAAAAGTGGAATTCTCGCAGACACACTCAAACGGCAAAAATCTAAGAACAAAAAAGAACCAAAATGAGAAAATATGAACAACGGAAGAAACAGCTTCAAAAACTGAGTCCCGAGCAGAAATATATGCCCCGAACAAGTTCGGCGGCAACCAATGCCAAAAACCCTGAAATTGGAGAAAAATGACCAGAAGGGACTTCTAAGAGTACACGACTCGACAAAAGTGAAAATGAATCCCGTACGAGAATCCAGGCTCGAAATGAGGCATTTAGTAATAACTTTCATTAATTGCACAATGGCCCTTCCAAAAAGTGAAAACTGCACTAATGACCCAAAATGAAAATATCTTCCAAAAATATTTTCTTAGAAACCCCTAAAATAAAATATCTTCAAAAGATATTTATGAAAAACACCCTAAGAAAAGAAAATATTTCTGAAGAACTGTTCATCCATGCCCCTATGGATACCGGGAGCAACTAGAGTACTTTTCTGCAAAAGTAAAGATACGTATTTCATGGAAACCACTTAGAATGAAGATACGTGATGTCAAAAACCAACTCTGAACACAAAGAGTATGGTTATGCCAACAAAGTGACAAACAGGGAAAAGACAGAATAGGGAAAAGGACGAAAAGTAAATAGTGTCGAAAAATGAAAATTCTAAAATGACGCGGTCCTCAAAGGAAGTTGTCAATCCAAGGAAAAGATTCTCGGAAATCATTCCAGAGCACTCAAGACGACACTAAGTGATGAAAAACTGAACTCAGAAAGGAAAAGAACAACGGAAAAAAATATCCGTGAAAATCTGAGAAAAGGAAAGGAAGGAAAATGACCGGGTTATTACAAAAGTATACAAGGACAGTCTGATAAATTCGGAATGGAATGTGAACTTGAAGAAGCTCAAAGATAGTCCGGGTAAAAAGCTTGTTGACTACATTGAGAATCACAACTGGCTTTCTTCACAAAGATGAAGAACACCTACAGTGCGACATGGTTCACTACTTTTACTCAAATATCCGAAAAGTTTATGATTTTGGATATTTTGAGGTTTTCTTGCTTAGCAAGGAATATGTTATCATTGAAGAGGCAATTGGAAAAGTTACTGGTACACCCAAGAGGTTTTTAAGCACAGGGTACTATCTTCCACTTGATCATTCAGGGTTGAAGTGGGAAGATATTTTTGATACTTTGTGTGTTCCAGACTCATCGAGATACCCCGATCACATTCCATCTTGTTATCTCACAGATTCATCTTGCAGCTTTTATCTATAGGTTGATGGTTGCATATTATAAGAATAACACCAAGAAAAAGTCATCTCCATTCCCTGTGATCATTATGGGTTTGTATAGACAACTTGACATTATGTTTCCACCTAGAGCTCATCATGTTCAGATTATGTCTCAGATGCATGCTAGGGTTTTTAATAAGTCAAAAGTTGCTAGGGCTACAGCTAGGAAGGTTAGTAAGGGTTCAGCTGCTACTTCATCTCTTCTAGAGATTTCTTAGATTTTTCCGTCTAAATGGAATTTCACTACAGAGGATGCAAATCTGCTTTATTCACTGTTTCTACAGAATCAGAAGGCCATGATGGATGCTATTTTTTATTTAAAAACTGAGGTGAGATTGCTTCGAGAGCAGAGGACAAGTAGTACGTCAGAGGATGTCTACAGACCAGCCCTTCTAGATCCTTCACTTGTTCATGAAGATGAGAGAGATGAGGATGATGAGATAGATGATGATGCAGAGGATGATGAGGATGGTAGTGGTAGTGACACTGATGGTGGTGATGAGGATATTACGACTACTACTGTTCCGTTTGTTGGAGATATTGATGCTTGATTCTATGTTCATATCATACATGCATCATATTTTTTTGTTCAGATTTACTTGTTATGACTTGATATTTTTGGATATTATCTTTTGATTACTGACATGTAATAAACTGATTACTGTTTTCTTTTTTAGTTATGTTTCCACTCTAAATGACCTATTTATTGCTTTATCAATTTTGTTCCAGAAAGGGGGAGAACAATGGTTAATTTAAGGGGGAGAAAATACTGAAAAATTGGATACTTTATTCAGGGGGAGTTTTTAACTTGTTTTATTAAACTTTCACTGGTAGTTTTGCTCAATCCATGTGCAGGAATTCAAGTGAACTTTTGTCCAAGAGAATAGAGATTGAAAAAAATTATGTTTTTCCTTAAACAATTATAATTACTTTTCTACTTGGGTAGATTGCTTAAATTGTTTTTAGGGTTTTGTTACGAAATTACAAAAGGGGGAGATTATGAGATATATTTTTGTAATTGGCAATATTCGGTAACAAAATAAGTCCTAGTCGAATTGTAATTTCAGTTACCATATCAAAATCGACATCAACTGCGGAATATGGAAGGTCGTTCAGAAGAAGAATCTACTGTTGATCATCAAAAAGGAAAGAACAACACATTAGGAAGTCATTTCCCACTTATGACACAAATACCTATAAGGTATATTTTCCAGAGTTACCAAAAACAGGAAATCCAAGTTCCAGTTGGATTATGTCAAGTGGGAACCGATACCTGAATTTGAGAACCGGTTCAAAAAGCTGAGATGCAAGAAAAACAATTATGTCCTTTGGGAACTGGTACCACAATCCTCCTACCAGTACCATTGCTGTTTCACTTTAAGGAAACTTTGTCCTTAACAGTTTTGGACTTCCCAGTTGGTTTAGAAGTTTACCAAAAGTCCTATGCACAAAATTTCCTTTATTTTCAGAAGGAATAGGACTTTGAAAACTCTATATAAACCCTAATACACATCTAGGTTTATTCATAGCTTTAGTACTACAACTTCATTATTCATAAAAGCTTTAGGAAGATTAGCTTTACAGAAAATCTAAGAGATTTCTCTGTCATCTTTCTAGAACACATACACATAAACATATAATGAGTTTAGAGTTGTGGTGTTCAAATCTTGATCGTGGTCATATAGTTGCATCTAAATCAATCAGAGAAAATCAGATATATTTTTACATTAAATTCAGATATTGAAGAACAGAAGTAAAAACGATCACACTTTGAAAGGGTTGGAGCATTCGAGGAGTGTTGTTTGATCTACCTGCTACTCTTCTACAGATATCAAGCATAAGCCTGAGGTCAAGTTGCTGTTAGACGGGACGTCGCAAAGCCATAAAATTGTCAGCAATTGGTGTTTGGTATAATGATAGGGTGTAAGCCAAAGTCAAAGTTCAGTATACTTTGTTTCGAATATAGTAGATCAGTTTACTTTTGATTGCACAGTCCACGAGATTTTTTTTCATGCAAACAGTTGACGTATTTTATCAACTGGAGTTTCCTCGCTAAAAATTCTGGTGTCATCTCTAACTTTTACTTTACTTATTTTATCTGCATGTGATTAAGTATTTAATTACTAAAATAAGGAAAGTTAGAAAAACACAAGATCTATTTTTAAAATTCACAAAAAATTTTAAATATTCCGTTGCGTACAACTCACAGTCTGCAAAACAAACATGAAATACCAAAGTGGGATTAGTTCAAGTGTAAAATGTATGATAAACAAGTTCAAAAAATTAAAAATTTCAATTGAATAAATCAATTAAATAATTATGTGAGCACATAATTTTCAGAAACTTGTCAAAACCGTATTTCTCCCTTTTTACTTATAAGGAATGTTACGAGAATAATATTGAACAAGAGAAATACTAAATAAATTAAGGTATATATATACTTGAAAGTGTCAAAAAAAAATAAATTGTCAATCAGTTTCACCTCTCATAGTCTCAAGTTTAGTATTAGGAATATTATTAACTATTATTAGAAATTTTAAATAAATAAAAAAAAATCAATGATCTTCTAGATTTTTGTAAAAAAATTATTCAAATGATTGTTAAATATTTAAGTATACGTAAATTATTTTTCCAAAAAACATAGGTGGTTCTGAAATTTTCTTTAACCTACCGTGTTGCCATTCACAATGGGTTAATTATATGTAATCCTTGAATATTGAAAATATCAAAAATTAAATTGCGAATCAATTTCACCTCTCATAGTCTAAAGGTTTGTATTAGGAATTATTACATTTTTGCAATCAAAATCTCTCTTTTATTTAGTATAGCCTACATTACAAAAGTTCTATACTTCCATACATTTGTTTTGCAAAAATGGGACTTTGGTAGATGATGATGAATCACAATCACTTAATCCATTTCCTTCAACAGTCTTCTCTTCTCTAGCTTTTCCCCACATCTCTGAGTAAAAACCAATAGCTATAATAGTTGCTCCAATCACACTGCACAAATATTTTAAATAAACCATGTATGTTAATTCATTGACCTTGGTTGCAAAAGAAATAAATAACTGAAAATAGATGCCCAAGCATAAAACATTTTACCTCCATATAACTTAATTAATTTTTTAAGAAATAAAATTGAAAATTTAGAAGGTGGGGAAATAAAATGGGCGCATGGGTTAGCTTCCTAATCAAGATACATGTTACATCATTTTAAAAGATGAGAAAATACCACTTAATAAATTTATTTTTTAAAGTTGAAGTAGGCGAGTGTAAAGTTGACTTAGAGATGAAAAATTAAACAGGTGGGCCGGGCCGAATTCTAGAAGTGATGGGTTGACCATGCCGATATTTTTGGGCCTAAATTAACATTTTTGCAAAGATGTAGTTGATTGGCCCAATAAAATATGGGTTGGTTTTCAGCCCTTTCAGGTAGGCCTTGGCTGGGCTTTCTTCTTTTTATGCATGTCGGAACTAATGGACTATAGGTGGCCCAGGCCTAGCTAAGGTGGAGCACTCGCTAGCTGAAAACAAGCCATCACCCCAGCAGACTTTCCAAATGGTAATTGCACAGTGCATGTGGAACGGGAGGATTGTATATGCGCGGTGGTAAATTATAGGGTGTTCTAGAAAAGCCCGACACCACCACCGTGGACCAAAAAACAAAACTTGCATATAACAATCATATTTATAAAATTTAAAAATCATAGAGGCTGTTACCTCCCAATATGCAGAATATCCCCTAGAAAAGTAACCCCCATGATAACTGCAATTACCATTCCAAGAGGCTTAAACATTGTAACAAAGACAGGCCCCTTCTTGCGCAATACCCATGTTTGAGCAACACTCCTAAGTGCAACCACAGCAATTGCCAACAGATTAAGAAGCTAGTCAATTTATTACAAACAAAAAAAATAAATAAAACACAGCTTTATAACAATATACATCTATTCTTAATGTGGATATGCGTGAAAATGCATGCATGTGAGACCTTAAATTTAAAAAATGGGAAGGAATGGGTTGTCCTAATTTCTATTTAATTTATTATAATATAATAGTGTAACATATCATTTTGTTATTATTATTTTTTTAATGATATAGGCAATTATAATTTAAATTATATGAGATTTGATGAAGTAGAGGTTCTTATAGCGGGATGCCTCGTACCCATATTATACGTGTTGATGAGTGTGAATAGATTGATTAGATTGCAAAGTGAATAATATATAAAAAGTGGGACAAATATTGACTAATTATATCTTGTGATATTCGACATCGCCAGCCAAGATTGAAGAGAGAGTGATTATGACATTCCAATCTTGTTATTAACGGTAAATGGAGGAAAATTCTTACCGAGTAGCAAATGCAAAGCAACTCAATATCAAGACTTAATTCCCAAGCACTTTGTGCCCTTTCTGCAATAAGAGCAACAATAGTTGATAGGATAGTCACAAAGCCACAAGCAATGAGTGTTACCATCAGCTCTGCAGGGTAGTCCCTAATAATCCAAGTCTGGAGATCTAGAAAGACATTAATTAGAATTCACATGAACTTTTGATAATAATGCATTAATGAAGCATTTTAGACAAAGTTCTACAATTACTTGTCAAGGTGTACCTGGACAATGTACAATAGTGCAAGGAAGAAGGCAGCAACAGCAAAGAGAAATCCTCCGATGATCCAGTTTGATTGCGGCGACGAAAGCGAATGAAAGAAGGTGATTGGCTGGCCTTTGTAGAAAGTCACTATGAATGCCCCTGTGATTGAAATTATGGTGCCAATGGACTTGGCCTGACTGCTTTGTGCTTTCAAGTTTAGCTTTTCCATCCTAAAATGATCCATTTGATGTAAGTAACAATTAAACACAATATATATATATATATTTGTAATCCGTATTCCGTAAGTAAAAAAATAAAGCCTGAAGAGGAATAAATGAAATTGCAATAAAAGCATTGTTGTTTGTTGAACAATGCTACTGCCAACTAGAGGCAATGAATCTGTCGTCTCTTGTAACTCAGAAAGGAGCAGGAATAAGTTTAGAGAAATGAAAAATATCATAAATGATATTCATGATATAGTATTATGAATGATATGGCAAGCCAAGTGTAATTTAAAAGTAAATTTTTTGGCGAGAAAATAGAGAAGGGAGAGAACCCAACAACGGAAGAGAGAAACGGTGAAACGCTTGTAAGAATACAAATAATGTGATTAAAATATATATATATACACACACTTTTGATTGATCAACAACTTTTATACGTTGTGAATCTGTAATTTGCATTATGACTCTCAAATTTGGATTATATTTGCAATATAGTGAGAACAAATTGTGTAAGAGTGAGTGTCTGAATATATTTAAGTGATCAAAGATCAGGTTTTGTAAGTGTTTTTGTTTTTTGTTTTTTCTTTTCGGAAGGTTGTGCAAGTGTTGTGAACCACATTACTATGGCGTAGTGCCATGATTACTCAAAAAATCCCAAGCATCTATTCAGAATTTTGGTTAGTGAAGACGGATGTTTTGTTGTAGAGAATCGAGATCTTTATGTGATTCAATTAGGGTTGATGTGCCCCAGAAGATTACATGGATCAGACCACCCAAGTACTTTAGATGTTTGATTTGTTACACAATGCAAGTGAAATGGTTTTCTATGTCATTTTGATAATTTGAGAGACAGAGAATTGACAGAGAAAGGTAAGGGATGATTTAGCGAAAAAGAAAAAGGTAAACCGGATGGAAGTGAGAATGTGACGTAATGGGTAAGGCTTACAAGAGCAGAAGAAAATGAATTTTGACAATAAAAAAATATAACGTTGTTAGTAGTACCATCTTAAAATTTGTTTCATGACTTGTATTCCTGTGTTTTTAATTCATTGAGCGATGGACCCTTCTTCCACTCATCACCATCGAATCACTAAGGCCAACTTTCGTCCAATGGGTGGGTCTTACAATCAAGCTCTTTAATGTCTTTACACTCGAGGGCGAAACTCTCTCCAAGAATTCAATGGTCTACTTATCCTTTCCTAAATAAGTGGCCTTGGCAGTATCATCTTAATATTGTAGGACCAGGCATGCCATGCCCATTATGTTCTGAAGGCTTGCATCTATCTTCTTGATGAAAAATTAAAAATTAAAAATTGCAATGAATCCAATGCTATATACATGGTTAAACTCAACCGAACTCAATTAAACAAAACAAAATAAAAGTGGTTCCATAAAACCTATTTTTTTCATTATATTCAGTTAATTTACTAATATAGTCTTAGTCAAACCTCTTGATAGAGAATTCCTCACTAAGTTTAGTTTAAACATTTTTAGAAAATTGTTGGAAACGTGTACTTGAAATGAGTACATACCTGGTGATGGTGGCAAGTACGAAGGTAAAAGCTGGGGTCAGATCAACCATGGCGGATGCCAAAGTTGGAGAGCTATACCGAATCCCAATATACACACAAGTCTGCACAAAACAACTGAGCCAAATTCATACGAGAACCATATATATTGTTAGTCATATAAACCACTTTCAGCCATCCAAACTTTAATTAATAAGAAAATTATGAAAATACCTAAGGAGGCTAAGAAGAAAGATTCTCCACATGACAGAGAGGGTGAGTTGTGGGCATGGTTTGATCCTGTAATTCGGTCCGAATTATACATATATACATAAATGTGTGTGTGTGTGTGTGTGTGTGTGTGTGTGTGTGGGGGGGGGGGGGGGGGGAATTGATTTGTTACATAGAAAGATGGTGTGATGTCTGTGTATTTATTGTGTGTGTGTAGTGTAATATAAAAATAAAAGAAAAATAATTTAATGGTGGGGCCCACAAGGCACTTTAGAAAAGGGTCAAGACCATAAAGTTGGTCTCATTTTCCTGATTCCCTTTCTCTCTCTTCGTGCATCTCTCTCTCAACCCGTAAGCTCATTTTTCTCTTATTTTTTTTGGTTTCAACTTTGAGGTTAGATTTCTCACTCATTTCTTGTTGGAATTAGGTTCCGTTTGAGGCAAAACGAAGCTCGTGTCAAGCTCTATACATCCATACAATCAATTTCCAGTTTGAGTCTTCTTTGGAACTCGAAAATTTAGACCCATTTTCTAGGGTTTTGGTGCAATCTTGAGGTAGGGGCATCTTAATCCACTCTCTTCTTGTTCCATTATGAGTTATGCTCTTTTGTTGTGCTAGACATGCTAAATTTGAGAATTAATTGCTTCAATGAGGTGTAAGTGATGTTTAGAAAAAAATTCATGTCTTAGGGTTATGACTTGTCTATGTGAAAAGCATGTACAGATGATGGCTTTGTGGTGTTTTTTGTGAATTACACCTCTTTTATGCGCTAACATGCTTTACTTGGGGATTAATTGTGTTAATGATTATTTTAATGTTGTCTAGAGAAATATATGTTTATGCACATGTGATGTATTATGTGAAAAGCTTGCCTATGTGTTGAGTTTATGTCTACTATGTGTAAACTTGCTGAAAGTGATGTATGAGACCATGCTTAATTGTATTGTGCCAAAATTTCACATTGTCATGATATTGAGATTATATGTATATTCATGGACATGTCATTGGGATGCATGAAATGGGAGAATTTGTCTTGAAATGAAAATGAGGAATTTTTGGGAAATGATAGTTTTTGTGAAATGGTTTTGATAAACCCGGTCGCTGCGGAGTTACCAACGGGCCGGAGGTTAATATAGCCTAGAGGGGACTAGGGAGTCGCCCTAGTGTGGTTGAGCTAGCTGGGCCCCATAATGACGCCGCGGGGTTACCAAGGGTCAGGGACACTAGCCAATCCTCCTCTCGTGTCGCGGCGGGGTTACCAAAGGGCGGGCTGTATTAACGTTTGAAAGTGATGGTTTTGAGAATGAAAATGGGGAGTGTCATTGACATGCATTGCAATTCATTGCATTGCATTGCATTGTTTATAATTGGAATTGAATCGTATGTTGTATTTGATCCCCTACGTTGTATGATCCCTATCTCCCATTGGCCTATGCTTTGCTTGAATTCACAAGGACACAAGATTTGTGTCTTAAGTGTCTCTGCTGAGCTATATGCTCACCCCTATATCTATATATTTTTTTTCAGGTCTTGGAAAAGAACCGGTGGACGACAATCCACCCCAGCTTTAAAAGTTGCTAGATGAGCATTTTCCTTGTTATTGTGTAATAGACTACTCCTTTGTTCATCCCTCATTTTTGTAAAATTCCAAAGGTGTAATGATGTAAATTTCTTTTGAAGAACCATGATCATGTAATACACTTATGATACTTGATGACATATGGGATGCGAAATTGATGATATGTAACTTGTTGATGAATGGAAGGATAATCCTAGCTTGAAGCATTGTCTAGATTAGTAGGTTGTATCATTATCTTTTGTTACCGTGAATTCGAGAATTAGTTGCATGACAGGTTAATTATGCATTTAAACAGATTGTGATAGGCCTATTTTTAGGGGAGGTCATGCCGAATTTTTTTTTGTTTAAAAAGTATTAGTTTTGAGTCGTTACAAATTTGGTATCAGAGCAAAGGTTCGAAAACCTTTAGGACGACGGGTAGAGGCCTACATAGAGTCGCATGGGATGTTGTTTGTATTGTTTACTTAACTACTTACTACGTGGTATCTTATTTAAATGAGCATGCTTAACTGCCTATGTGCTTACTTTCTTACTTGTTTATGTTAAAATGTTTCTTGCATAGTCTTGCATGCTAAGTGTTGTACGGTATTAATTCTTGTTAAGTCGTCCACAGTGGACCTTAGTGTCATGTTTCTGAATTGTTTTCTCGTTTTATAGCACGATGTCACGGCGTGAGGAACCTAGAGAAGTTGGCCCTAGGCCAACAAGGGGCGATGTTGGTGAGAGCTCTAGCTCCAATCCGGCGGAGCCAGTTGATGAGAACATGCTTCTTAGGGACTTGATTCCCCCAAGAGCTGTTCCTCCAAGAAGAGAGAATGTTGAAACACCTGTACCCGTAGAAGTGGGTGAAGGTTCTGTGGCACTGGAGTTTAATCGTTTGTTACAGAATGTCGTGAGGGCAACGATTGCTGCTCAGTCGCAGTCAGCACCACAACCTACAGTTCAAGTTGAGTAGACGCCAGCTCAAAAGCATCTCAAGATCATAAAGGGTTTTCTCAGCTGATGCCGGTTATGTTTGAGGGCAGTGCGGATCCAATGGTAGCAGATGACTACTTGGATCAAGTTAAAACCCAACTAACTTCAATGGATGTGACAGAGAATCATCTAAAGATCATCCTAGCTACGTATAAGTTTGCTAAGGATGCTAAGGTTTGGTGGAAGTCAGTCACCAACCAGTACAAGATTGAAGAAATGAGCTGGGACAGGTTCAAGGAACTGTTCTATGAAAAGTACTTTCCACTTTCCAAAAGATGGGAGTTACAAGACCAGTTTCATAATCTTATTCAAGGGAACATGTCAGTGGCAGAGTATGAGAACAAGTTCACCTCACTCTCCCGTTTTGCTCCAGAAGTGGTGAGAGATGAAGCTAAAAAGACTCGAAAGTTTGTCTCGGGTCTTAATGATCGAATGAGGCCGTTGATCATGGCACAGTTTATTAAGGTTTACTCTGAAGCAGTGGAAAGGGCTTTGATGCTAGAGGCTGACAATAGAGAGAAGGATGCAAGAAGAGAGCAATTGAAGCAAAAGAGGGGTGCAGGGCCATCCTCAGAGGGATCTTCTTGGAAAAGGAATAGGGGCAGTCCATCTCAGTTTCAGGAGCAACAGTCTACAAGATCTGCTCCTACCACTCCTATGCCAGCTGGACCTAACAGGAGTGCAGTTGTTTGTTATCAGTGTCAGCAGCCCGGACATTACAAGTCCAGTTGTCCGATGAGATCGTCTTCAGTTTCGTCAGCTCCGAAGGCTTGTTATGGGTGTGGCCAGCAGGGTCACTTGATTCGTGATTGTCCGAGTCAGAGAGCAGGCACCATTAGTGGTAGAGGGTCACAGCAGAGGCCGTCACAATCGGCTACAGTTCAGTCAAGTTTCAGACCACCACCACCACAGCCTACTATGTCTTCACAGGGTTCACGATCAGTTAGGAGGGATACTCCTACTATGTCAGTGCAGCAGTCAGGTGTTCTGGTTGGCAGTCCTCAGGCACAGGTACCACAGGGATGTGTTTTTGCACTGGCACAGACCGATGCATCTTCTGGACCGTCAGTTCTTCGAGGTATATTTCCAGTGTTTGGTTGTTGGGCCCGTGTTTTGTTCGACTATGGTGCATCTCATTCTTTCATTTCATCATCATTTGCGCTTGCATCGGGGTTGGAGGTTAGTTTCATGGATCGGGCGTTATGTGTTGATACGCCAATTGGGGTTTCAATGTCATTGAGCCGAGTTGTGCGGGATTGCTCTATTGTGATAGCCGCGCGGACCTTTGTGTTTGACCTTATCCTCCTGGAGATGACTAGCTTTGATGTCATTCTCGGGATGGATTGGTTGGCTTCATTTCATGCCACGATCGACTGTTACAGAGGAAGGGTTACAGTTTGCACTCCCGAAGGAGACTGTTTCTTTTTCGTGGGAAATCGGAGTGATTCCCACATTTCATCTTTTTATGGAGTTCGTGGACGAAGTCATGGTGATTACTTCTTGGCTAGCCTTATAGCCGAAGAAGATGATGTCGTGGGAGAAGTTTATCCGGCGATTGTTTGTGACTTCTTGGATGTTTTTCCAGAAGATTTGACAGAGTTGCCTCCACACCGAGAAGTGGAGTTCACTATTGATTTGATGCATGGTACTGCGCCGATTTCTATGGCACCGTATCGAATGGCCCCAGTTGAATTGGAAGAATTGAAGAGGCAGCTTGATGATTTGAGGATGAAAGGTTTCATCCGACCGAGTGTGTCACCATGGGGCGCACCGGTCTTGTTTGCTAAGAAGAAAGATGGTTCGTTAAGGTTGTGCATTGATTATCGGAAGTTAAATCATGCCACCATCAAGAACAAGTATCATTTGCCAAGGATAGATGATTTATTTGATCAGTTGAGGGGAGCCAATTGTTTCTCAAAGATTGACTTGAGGTCTGGCTATTATCAGTTGCGGGTTAGGGATAAGGATATCCCGAAGATAGCATTCCGTACACGGTATGGACACTATGAGTTCCTTGTTATGCCTTTTGGCTTGACTAATGCGCCAGCGGCATTCATAGACTTGATGAACTGCGTCTTTCACGATTACTTGGACCAGTTTGTGGTAGTTTTCGTGGATGACATTCTTGTGTACTCACGGACTCGGGAAGATCACGAGGTCCATTTGAGTATTGTTTTATAGATTTTGCGGGAGCACTGATTGTATGCCAAATACGAGAAATGTGAGTTTTGGCTACAGGAGGTGAAGTTTTTGGGGCATGTTGTTTCAGAAGGTGGAGTATCAGTTGATCCATGAAAGGTTAAAGCAGTTTTGACTTAGGAGCGACCCAAGAATGTGTTTGAGATCCGCAGTTTCCTTGGTTTAGCGGGTTACTATCGGAGATTTGTGAAGGATTTCTCCCATTTGGCAGCTCCTATGACCCGTTTGACCCGGAAAGGGGTCAAGTTTGTCTGGAATGAGGCCTGTGATTCATCTTTTCAGGAGTTGAAGACGAGATTAACTACAACGCCAGTGTTGGTGATACCTGAGCGTGGCTTGGGTTATGTGATCTATTGTGATGCTTCACGTGACGGGTTGGGATGTGTGTTGATGCAGGATAGTAGAGTAGTGACTTATGGGTCTTGACAGTTGAAGACTCACGAGTACAACTACCCTACTCATGACCTGGAGCTAGCGGCAGTTGTATTTGCCTTGAAGTGTTGGAGGCATTACTTGTATGATGAGAGATTCGAGGTATTTTCAGATCACAAAAGTCTCAAGTACCTTTTTTCCCAAAAGGACTTGAACAACAGACAGAGACGATGGGTTGAGTACTTGGAAGATTACAACTTTGATTTGCAGTATCATCCGGGCAAGGCAAATGTTGTAGCTGATGCCTTAAGCCGAAAATCTCATGGAACTTTGGCCAGTTTAGCTATTCGGAAGTGGAAGATGCTTGAAGACCTGGCAGAGATGGGATTGTATTGTTTTGATGACGATGTTGACAGCGAGCCGGCATTCTTGTTTAGTCTTGTGGCTCAGCCTACTCTTGTTGTACGAGTGATTGAGTCACAGAGACAGGACCCGGACTTAGATGCCATCCACGCTTTGATCTCTAGTGGTGAGACAGTGAAAGATTGGGCCTTGCATGCAGATGGGGGTCTACGGTTTAGGGGTTTGTTGGTGGTTCCCACATGTTGTCGTGAGGACGTCCTACGGGAGTTTCACACTTCCCGTTTTGCAGTTCATCCAGGTGGTACTAAAATGTATCACAATTTGAGACGTCAGTATTGGTGGAGCGGGATGAAGAATGATGTTGCACAGTTTGTGGCTAGATGCCTTACCTGTCAGCAGGTGAAGGCCGAGCATCAGAAGCCAGCAGGTTTGTTGCAACCATTACCTGTAGCGCAATGGAAATGGGAGCATATTGCTATAGATTTTGTGACAGGTTTTCCAAGGTCAAGAAGGGGCAATGAGGCCGTATGGGTCATCATTGACAAATTGACCAAGACGGCTCACTTTTTGCCTATTAAGGCAACAGATGATGCAGAGAAGCTTGGTGTTCTTTATGTGAAAGAGATTGTAAGGTTGCATGGAGTTCCTGTAACCATTGTGTCAGATAGGGATGCTAAGTTCACTTCGAAGTTCTGGGAAGGACTTCAAGTAGCGTTTGGTTCAGCGTTGCATCTTAGTATGGCATTCCATCCACAGACGGACTGTCAGTTGGAGCGTACTATCCAGATTTTGGAGGATATGCTTCGGGCATGTGTGCTTGACTTGGGTGGTAGTTGGGAGGATCACCTTCCACTTATTGAGTTTGCCTACAACAACAGTTATCAAACGAGTATCCAGATGGCTCCATTTGAGGCGTTGTATGGTAGACCTTGTAGGTTTCCTGTTTGTTGGACTGAGGTAGGTGAGACAGCCGCCTTAGGACCCGACATTGTACTCGAGACTACTGAGAAGATTAAGTTGATAAGACAGAGGTTACTTACAGCTCAGAGCCGACAGAAGAGCTATGCGGATAAGCAGAGACGACCGTTATCCTTTGAGGTGGGAGACCACGTTTTTCTACGGGTTTCTCCACGGAAGGGACTGATGAGATTTGGGAAGAGTGGCAAGTTATCGCCACGATTGATTGGACCATTCGAGATTTTGGATCGGGTAGGAGAGGTTGCCTACAGGCTTGCTTTGCCACCACAGTTGGATAAGGTCCACAATATTTTCCATGTATCGATGTTACGGAAGTACGAACTGGATCCATCTCACATTTTGAGTTGGGTTGATGTGGATATTGATAAGGATGTTTCCTACGAGGAAGGACCAGTTCAGATCCTTGACACTCAGCAGAAGGTGTTGAAGAACAAGACGATACCAATGGTGAAAGTCCTTTGGAGACACCACGGAGTCGAGGAAGCTACTTGGGAGCTCGAATAGGAGGTTCGGTCCAAGTACCCAGCGTTGTTTTCTTCCTCAGGTATGTCTTGATTTCGGGGACGAAATCCTTATAAGTTGGGGAGAATGTGATGTCTTTGTATTTATTGTGTGTGTGTAGTGTAATATAAAAGTGAAAGAAAAATAATTTAATGGTGGGGCCCACAAAGCACTTTAGAAAAGGGTCAAGACCATAAAGTTGGTCTCATTTTCCTGATTCCCTTTCCCTCTCTTCATGCATCTCTCTCTCAACCCGTAAGCTCATTTTTCTCTTATTTTTTTTGCTTTCAACTTTGAGGTTAGATTTCTCACTCATTTCTTGTTGGAATTAGGTTCCGTTTGAGGCAAAACGAAGCTCGTGTCAAGCTCTATACATCCATACCATCAATTTCCAGTTTGAGTCTTCTTTGGAACTCGAAAATTTAGACCCATTTTCTAGTGTTTTGGTACAATCTTGAGGTAGGGGCATCTTAATCCACTCTCTTCTTGTTCCATTATGAGTTATGCTCTTTTGTTGTGCTAGACATGCTAAATTTGAGAATTAATTGCTTCAATGAGGTGTAAGTGATGTTTAGAAAAAAATTCATGTCTTAGGGTTATGACTTGTCTATGTGAAAAGCATGTACAGATGATGGCTTTGTGGTATTTTTTGTGAATTACACCTCTTTTATGCGCTAACATGCTTTACTTGGGGATTAATTGTGTTAATGATTATTTTAATGTTGTCTAGAAAAATGTATGTTTATGCACATGTGATGTATTATGTGAAAAGCTTGCCTATGTGTTGAGTTTATGTCTACTGTGTGTAAACTTGCTAAAAGTGATGTATGAGACCATGCTTAATTGTATTGTGCCAAAATTTCACATTGTCATGATATTGAGATTATATGTATATTCATGGACATGTCATTGGGATGCATGAAATGGGAGAATTTGTCTTGAAATGAAAATGAGGAATTTTTGGGAAATGATAGTTTTTGTGAAATGGTTTTGATAAACCCGGTCGTTGCGGGGTTACCAACGGGCCGGAGGTTAATATAGCCTAGAGGGGACTAGGGAGTCGCCCTAGTGTGGTTGAGCTAGCTGGGCCCCATAATGACGCCGCGGGGTTACCAAAGGTCAGGGACACTAGCCAATCCTCCTCTCGTGTCGCGGTGGGGTTACCAAAGGGCGGGCTGTATTAACGTTTGAAAGTGATGGTTTTGAGAATGAAAATGGGGAGTGTCATTGACATGCATTGCAATTCATTGCATTGCATTGCATTGTTTATAATTGGAATTGAATCGTATGTTGTATTTGATCCCCTACGTTGTATGATCCCTATCTCCCATTAGCCTATGCTTTGCTTGAATTCACAAGGACACAATATTTGTGTCTTAAGTGTCTCTGCTGAGCTATATGCTCACCCCTATATCTATATATTTTTTTTCAGGTCTTGGAAAAGAACCGGTGGACGACAATCCACCCCAACTTTGAAAGTTGCTAGAGGAGCATTTTCCTTGTTATTGTGTAATAGACTACTCCTTTGTTCATCCCTCATTTTTGTAAAATTCCAAAGGTGTAATGATGTAAATTTCTTTTGAAGAACCATGATCATGTAATACACTTATGATACTTGATGACATATGGGATGCGAACTTGATGATATGTAACTGGTTGATGAATGGAAGGATAATCCTAGCTTGAAGCATTGTCTAGATTAGTAGGTTGTATCATTATCTTTTGTTGCCGTGAATTCAGGAATTAGTTGCATGACAGGTTAATTATGCATTTAAACAGATTGTAATAGGCCTATTTTTAGGGGAGGTCATGCCGAATTTTTTTTTGTTTAAAAAATATTAGTTTTGAGTCGTTACAGATGGACCTGTGAAAGATGAAGGTTGCAGGGAGGAGCAAGCAAAAGGCGAGGGCATTTGAGTAAACAACAAAGACGAAGTTGCTCATTCCTCTGCCCATTGCTGCTTTAGTTAAGGTGTTTAAACCAACCTCTAAGCATTCAGTTGTCACCATTACTCCTATTATCCAAGCTGCCCACATTCTGTGTGTGTATGTGTGTGTGTCAGTCTCTGCGCATTGGTACACCATACATCTCAAGGGGGTATGGTTTAATAAACTCTGTTTTCTTGTTGCTAGATAGGGGCATATTAGTAATTCAGAATTAAAACATTTTCTTTTTGGTGTGGCCAATAATGGTCTTTAAAATTATAGTAGGTCAGCAATTATGATTTAATTATTAGCTAGGCTTTTTGTCAAGGAGAAAAAAAAATTCATAAGGGCGCGACTTGGGCTAGACAGTTCGATTGTGAAATTCTCTTTTTTTTAAAGGGAAAGAAAATTAAAAATTAAAAATTTCACTTGTTGGCATAATAAAAATAAAAAAATCAATCATAATCAATCAATTCGGTTAAAATGATGGTATAACATAAAATTTAATTTCAACTCGTGATTAATTTTGCAATCAATCACAAAGCGACTGGCTACCAACCCTCAAAAATCATGTGTCATGTGACTCATGTACCATTATTATTATTATTATTATTATTATTATTATTATTTTATTATTATTATTATTATTATTTTTATCTTAGTAACACAATTCAAAAAAAAAAAAAAAAAACTCTCCTACATGTTCATCGGTGTTCCATCTTGGCAGTTACTATAAGCTGAGCATTTGGCCCAAAATATTCATTAATATAACGTGGATGTAACTTGGTGAGCCAGCTCCAACAAATCTCGTATTCTATGGATATGTATACTAATTTTAAAAGCAATAGGTAGAGTTTCAAAATCTCAACCTCAAATTAATTATTGGTTGATTCGGGTATCTACACGCAATATATATATATATATATATTATATATATATATATATATTACAGACTCCGGCAATTATTAATACAGGAAGATATGGTTCATTATTATTTTATTTGTTTCTCAATAATAATATAGTAGATATTTGGATTGAGTATTCGTTGAATTGTTATAAACTTAGAACTCAACTTGAATCCAACCGATTTTCTAGTCGGAAATCACATATCTGAGCCAGGATTAAATTGAGTTGGGAAGCTTAAGATCAGTTAAATCCTCCACCCACCTCAGTGCACCTCTAAAAAATTAAGATGAGGAGCAGATTTTTTTAGCAGGTCTTGTATCTTAACTATTGTGGATTTCTGGGCGCTTACATGAAACTTTTGGAGAAAAAAAAATTAAAAATAAAAATGAAATTAGGTTTTAACATATTCGTCATCAGTAACAAAAAGTGTCATTTCATAATAGGCACGTATTAAATCTACAGATGCCTTATATGCTAAACATATCTAGACTAAAAAAATTATGTACTTTTATCCTTATTTAATTTAATATTACGAGTCTGGAGAGGAGTGTTACGTGCAGAATGGGCTTGGCAGTTGAAGTAGTGTATGCTTTTCCAGTTGGTGTTTGTTTGTTTGTCTGCTTTTTTCTTTTGTGTGTGTTTTTTTCGAATAAGTATTTTTTTTTTTTTTTTTTTGCGCTTTTGAATTGGTCTATTGTTATCGTTATGTTTTTTTAGAGAATATGAGTTGCTGTAATGACTCGGTTATTTTTCTTTCTTTTTTTTTTTCTCCATTTTTACGGATTATGTTTTTTTCGTTGAAATTTCCTATCGCGTAACCTCAATCTTCGTGTCCGGAGTTGCTTTTTGCCTCCACGGGCTTTCATCTCAGTTAGTTTCCTAAAAAAACATAGTTTTACAGCCTTTACTTTTAGAGAGGTTATTTTTGTAGTTATGTTTAGCATAGCTTCCATTTCGAAAGTTCTATACATCCATACTTTTGTTTTGCAAAAGAGGGACTTTGGTAGAAGATGAATGCCGACCACATATTCCATTCTCTAACTCTTCTGCAGTCTTCTCTTCTCTAGCTTTTCCCCACATCACAGAGTAGAAACCAACAGCTATAACGGTTGCTCCAATCACACTACACAAATATTTGAAATAAAACATATTTGTTAATTCAGAAACCTTTCAATGATTGCAAAAGTTCGTAATACAAATTAAATGCCCAAACATCAAACATTTTATCTCCATATTTCTTAATTAATTTTTTTTGACAAATAAAATTAAAAATTTAGAAAAACATTTCACGAGAAAACATAACTCATGCACCCTGTTGGGACTTGAACGCTCAATTTTTCCTTATAAAAGTGAGAAAATAACACTAGACAAATTAAAAAATTTAGGTAGGCAGATCCACATCTAAATTTATATACTCGTATATAGAAACCCTATTTATAAAATAGAAAATCATAGAGGTTGTTACCTCCCAATATGCAGAGTATCCCCTAGAAAAGTAACCCCCATCACAATTGCAATGACCATTCCAAGAGGCTTAAACATTGTAACAAAGACAGGTCCCTTCTTCCGCAAAGCCCACGAGTGACACACACTCCTAAGTGCAACCACAGCAATCGCCTACAGATTAAGAACCAAGTAAATATATTACATACAAAATAATAATAATAATAATAATAATACATATATTCATAACAATTTTATATCTATGTTTGATGTGGATATGTGTCGTGAGATCTTCTTGAATTTAAAAGTTGTGAATGGGTAGTAGACACAACCTACTCTAGTTTTCATCTATTTTAGAGTAGGCACTACCAATACACATTAGCCCAGATGGTTTGATATCTCCTCTTCAAAAGAGAGGTTGAGTGTCGTAGAACCCAACAAGGAGTAATATATTGTGAGTGTGTTTTTGCTTGAACTTTCGAGAAAAATAGAAGAGTCTATGTATTATATCTTACAACTGCCACATGCTTACCGCGTAGCAAATGGTTAGCAACTCAATATCAAGTCTTAGTTCCCAAGCACTTGGTTCCCTTTCTGCAATCAGAGCAACTATGGTCGATTGTATGGTCACAAAGGCGCAAGCAATGAGTGTTACCATCAGCTCTGAAGGGTAGTCCCTAATAATCCAAGTCTGGAGATGTAGAAGACATTAACATTCACATAAATTTTGAAAAGTAATGCCTTAATGGAGCATTGTAAACAATGTTTTCTTTAATTAATGAAAAATGTGTACCTGGACAACGTACAATAGTGCAAGAAAGAAGCTAGCGACAGCAAGGAGAAATCCTCCGGCAATCCAGTTTGATTGCGACGACAAAACCGGCCTATGAAGTAAGTCGGAAGCCGATCGAAAGAAGATAATTGGCTGACCTTTGTAGAAAGTCACTATGAATGCTCCTGTGATTGAAATAATGGTGCCAATGGACTTGGCCTGACTGCTCTGTGCTTTCAAGTTTAGCTTTTCCATCCTGAAATGATTTAACAAAAAAATTACATGTTTGAGTTTTACAATTGTGATCAGACTTCTGGAGTGTTTGTCTAAATTGTTTTTCAATAAGATATGATATATGAGATAGAATATACAAATTTGTCTATTTGATTGGAAAATGTCCATTGCATTCTAGACATATTTTATTTTATTTTATATAGAATTGATTGCTGAAACCTTTATGGCCAGTTTGAACCATTAGGGGACCAAATGGACACAAATTTTCTGGGTTGATCCCGAATTTGTTTGGCCGAATTCAATCGTTTAGGGCTCGAAAATGGCGTTTTCTCATTTTTGAATATTTTGATATTTTTATTTGTTATCTAAACGAATTTTTCGATATTTTTATTTGTTATCTAAACGAATTTTGAACTCGGAGTGCATTCATATTTTATATTTTATTTTATTAGTTTATTCTGTGAAGCACCGCCAAGGTGCAACGTATCAGTATCGGACACGTGTTCGACACGTGTATCCGTGTCGGAGCTCTGGACACGTGTTCGACACCTTAAAATCGATGTCTTAATTTTTTTATTATTTAATATAGAACGGACACGGGTGAGATATCACATTGTTCGAGGAACCCTAGATGCTGTCGGAGTAAAGGATCGTCAACAAGGGCGTTCTAGTGCGTTGTAGATTCTTATCCAAGACTTGTATCATTTAATGATGCCATGTGAATCGCTAGAAACATGTGAAGTGTATGGCTAACCCAATAACAAAAGTTTCGTAAGGGGACTGGAGCAGGCTACCATGAGACAAAGGCGAAAGATTTTTCATCTCTATATGATTAAATCCCGAGTTATTGCGAAGTAAAAAAACGATGAGATTATGGAAGTAAATATTCTCGATTTTTGTGTTGTTGATTCCTAGGTGTAGTGCTTCTTCCCCTATGCCGCCTATTGGTACTAGTGGAGGAGGATTAACTTGTAATACAGAACCTCTAGGTATAACCTTGCGCTCAATACTAGAATCGAGAATTGAAGCATAGCATCTGAGGCTGCATTAATCGAAGATACACGACAGAAGGAATTGTTCTATATTCAAAACTTCACCTTCAACATGCGTAGATTTATTTCAATCATTTTCTTTCTATCCCGAATCACGTGTCTTTCTCGTAAGACTGAGAGCATTATACGGGAGGTACACGATATCTGTCATTGTAGAAATTTTATTTTGAAAAAAAATGAAAAGAAAAACAGAGAAGACGACATATATATATATATAGTATACACAAAGAAAAAAACAACTGAATTGACGGATCATGTTCTTATATGCCACCTGATCTGAAATTTTTGGTAGATGACTCTTTAAAATCGCTTGATGCAGAGACGTATAAGGCTGTTGGGATGGCCACCAGTGAGGGGATCGGAAAGCGAAAAAAAAAAAAAAAAAAAAAAAAAAAAAAAACGGATAAGATGAGAAGAGTGGTGTTATGAGAAAACAATGGCTGAAGAGAGATAAAAACGAGTGAAGGAAAGAGTGGATAAGAATAAAAGTTAAACCTTATCTCTTTTTGTCCTTTGTTTGGTTACAACCTTATCAACTTTTACCCCTTGTTTGGTTACAGATAAAAAAATAACCTTTTGAATATACAATATTTATTTGTTTGTTTATATATTAATAGAATTTGGGCCTTAGACTCAAAATATTTAGTGGGCCTAATTTAAAAGGGTTAAAAATTGAGAAAACATAATTATTAGTATTATTATATATATATATATAATAATTATTTATTTTATTTTATTGTATTGTCGTGTCAGTGTCTTATTTTTTTGAAATTTGACGTATCGCGGCATCCGTTTCGTACTCGTGTCCCGTATTCGTGTTTGTGCTACTTAGATTTTATTTCTCTATTTTGTCAAAAAATTTAAAGAAAATGTATTTTTAAACTTATTTTCGGGTATTAGGATCCTTTCGAGATTAGGTTTCCTTCTATTATAAGAATTCAAGTTGCAAACTTGCAATTAGTTTCCTTATGGATTAAGATTTTCTTTCATTATAAATATGTGTAATGTACAGATTAATTATCAAATATATTGGATTTTTCTGAATTATTTTTTCATTTTGTGAATTCAAAACACTCATATATTGTGAATTCAAGGTAACATGTTTCTTGCTTATGCCATTTTCATAAACACCAAAGTATAATTGGTTCCTTTTTCTTGATGATAGGAGTAAACAAAATATAATTGGCGGGTACTATTAATTTGGGTGTCCCGAAATACCCAATTCTTTATAAGTTTACTTGTATATAAGTTTACATGTATATAAGAGGGTTTATGAGTTATGGCAATTCAAGCCAGGGGTGAACAAAAGCGTGTGTAAACTGTGTGAGTACATACGGACAAAAAAAAAAAATACATACGGAGTATATAAGAAGATATCTCAAGATTGTCCCTAGAGGCTTGGTAGAGTTGGTAAGACAACGGTCTAGAGTGCCATATGTTCTAGGTTCGAACTCATCTATTTTTATTATATTTTTTGATTAAAATTAATGCTATGTTCTAGGTTCGAACTCATCCATTTTCATTATATTTTTTGATTAAAATTAATGCTGAAGTGTAAGGTCATCGACAACAATTCCAAATTTGTAATTTAAGGTAAGTTCCGAAGGAGCCCTGCGAGTTTCTAATGCCAATCAAATATATATATATATATATATATATACACACCTCAAGGTTTAAAATTTGTTGATTGGAGGTCGCTCTCAAAGTTGCGTCCCAAGTAATGTCTCATCCTAATAAATGACTGCTAAAGCCAAAAGAAAGAGGAGACCACCTATTATACAATACTAATTATTATCGAAACGGACAAAAGAAGCCCCAAACAACGGAGCTGACAGAAGTCTGGTTGATGGAGTCCGTTGCCACTTGCAAACGCTTATAAAAAAATAATAATAATAATAAATAAATAAAAAACAAATAAAAAAAATATATTATTTTTATTTTATCTGAAACGGCCTGATAATAAATATTCAACCATTACGCTATGTCAGCTTGTGACATATTCGACTGCTTTGGGTCCCTTTTTGCAAATTTCAAAGCCGTAGGAAACCTGTTGGAAAACGAATTTGGATTGTTTAATTTGTATGAGAGAGTATTTATTGGATTGTTTAATTGAATGAGAAAGTATTAAATATTTTTTATATAGTTTCTGGAAAGTATATTAATTTTTTTTTATTTGGATTGTCCTAAAATAATTATTTAATTTTATTTTTTAAATAATATATTTTATATATTTTCATATATGCTATTGAAATTTAAAATTTTAAGGATACTTTGCACTCACACTCTCTGATGTTTGGGTCAACGTCACTCAGCGGACAATCAAGGTATTATTTTACATTGACACCCCCTGAAGTTTCAAATACATACATACACACAACTCTAGACCTCTGACACCCGAAAAATGACTATTTAGCCCTTTGACTTGGTAAACAAATACCTAAAAAGTGTAAATTGCCAAATATAACCCTTAAACTAAAATTAAATTACCAAAATAACCTTCATCATTCTCTCAAGTCTGCACCCTCTATCCTCACCACCATCACTATGTAATCAGAGGAGCAAGAACACGATCCAAAAGACCCATGATTCTTTTGAAAAGGTGTAGGCGGCGGTGACACCAACTCAGTCGCGATGAGGTCAAAAAGGTGTAAGCAGCGACACCTAACTCGCCGACCTCTCTAATTCGCTTCCCAACTCTCTTTAGAAGTCCTCGATGTCGATCTCAAGACCCAACTCACCAATCTCTTCGATTCGCCTCCCAACCGACGTGGATCTAAACACCCAACTCATCCGATCTCTTTGATTCACATCCCAACCCTCTCTAACTCGCACTCTCTCTCAAAATCCCATCACGATGACGCCTTTCTTCTATCGCCATCGAAGACAGAGTCTGTACGAGTCAAGGCTCAAAATTTGATAGCTCGGTCACAGATTGGAACGATTGAGTCGAAGAACTCGACGATGGTGTTGCAGTGTATGGTTGTTACGGTGTGGCGGTGTGTGGTTGAGGCGGGTATGGGTGTGACAGTGTCTTCTTTGACCCAAAGACCGCGTGTTTAATGTGGCGTGTTTGATATAGTGACGTTGTGTGGGTGGTGTATGGCGTGCTTGATGTGGCGGCTGTGTGCGGTGGTTGCGTTGTGGTGGTGGGTGTGGCGGGGTGTGTGTGTGGTGATCATGTTGAGAACAAGATTAAAGTTGTTGATAACAAAATTAAAAGATGTTGAAGTAATATTAAATGTGTCGAGAACAAGATTAAAGTGTGTTGAGAAAAAGAATATACAAATGTGTTGAAAATAAGATTAAAAGTGTTGAGAAAAAGATTAAAAGGTACTGAAAAAAAATATTAAGGGTGTTAAGAATAAGATTAGATGTATTGAAAACAAGATTAAAATGTGTTAAGAAAATATTAAAAGGTGTTGAGAAAAAGATTAAATGTGTTAAGAAAAATCTCTAATCTTTACCTCAATACGATTTAATAGTTTTCTCAACACCTTCTTTTTTGTTTTCAACACCTTTAATCTTATTCACAACACTTTTTAATTTTTTTTCTTAACACCTTTAAATTTGTTATCAATACATTTAATCTTATTCTTAACATCTTTAATCTTTTTCTCAACACCTTTAATCTTGTTTTCAACATATTTTAATCTTTTTTTCAATACTTTTAATCTTGTTTTTAACACCTTTATTCTTTTTCTCAACACTTTTAATCTTTTTCTCAACACACTTTAATCTTATTCTCGACACCTTTAATATTACTTCAACACATTTTAATTTTGTTCTCATCAACTTTAATCTTGTTCTCAACACCTTTTAAACTAATTATTAACAACTTTAATCTTTACCTCAAGACTATAAAAAACATGGACTTTATCTATTATATATTATATTATCAAGTCACTTTGGTTTCAAATATTTGTCATTATTTTACAAGATGGTAATAAGGAGATGCTGAAGCACAATATTTTGTTTTCTATTTTTTTTTTTTGGTAGTTTTCTCTCTCTCTCTCTCCCCCCCCCCCCCCCCCCCCCCCTTTTTTTTTTTGTAATTTTTTAAAGTAACGTCTCTCCTTTTTTCCGTCTCACTCAAAAATTATCCTTTTTGCAAACATACCTTTTTACACTATAACATGGGTACAACATGACCCATTTACAGCTCCTAATCCTACCTTAAGGGTCAAGATTATTTATTCATGGAAAATGAATAAGTAGTTTGAGGAACCAAAGGGCCTTTGGCCCAATGGTATAACTTCTCCATCTTCAAAGAAGAGGGGAGAGGTTCAAGCCCTCGCGTGGGCAAAAAAAGTATGTGTGTATTTGCTTTGCCATTCAAAAAAATAAATAAATAAGGAGCTTGAGGAGTCAAGACAACGACACCCTTGTACTTTTCTTTTTTAATATTTTTTTTTTCTTTTTTAATATGAGTGAAAAATGCTGTTAGGCATATGATGATATGATGACGAAATTCTCCAAATATACTCTTATATAAATATGGTTGGATGTGTGGACTTTCAAACTTTACATTATAACTCTTTAGCCATTCATCTATTGTGTTTTTTTTTTTTTTTTCAAAGGAGGTCATCAATGAGGGATAGAATATGATTGATCGAAGAGTGGAGGAACTTTTTAAACTTCTTCCACATGTTCTTTTCTTATATTCCCCCATCAAATTTCATTTTTGCACAAGTATTAAGAAATGCTGCAAATCACCTCTTGAAAGTTCATAATTTTATGTGTGCAGTTTATGAAAGAAATGCTGCAAAAAAATTGTGCAGTTGGGGTACAATCAATTGAACTCAATTCAACAAAACAAAGAACTGGCTACATGAAATCTATTTTTCTACTCTGCTCTTTTAATTTAAGAACATAGTAAAAATTTCCTTGAAAATGAGAAGTATATACATAACATTTTTTTTATTTTTTTCCCGGTAAGTTAAGAAGTATATACATACCTGGTGATGATGGCAAGTATGAAGGTAAAAGCTGGGGTGAGGTCAATCATGGCAGATGCCAAAGTTGGAGAGCTATACCGAATCCCAATATACACACAAGTCTGCACAGAAAAACTGATCGAGCTCCCAAAAAAAAGAAAAAAAATTAAAGAATAAATTACAATATGAGAACCATATTGACAGTAGTACAACTTGTAGCTAGCTATCCAAAATTTAATTAATTAGTAAAATATGAAAATACCCGAGGAGGCTAAGAAGAAAGATTCTGCAGATGATAGAGAAGGTGAGTTGTGGCCATGGTCTAAACCTGTAAATAAGTGAGAATTATAGATATATACATATAAGGAATTAATTAAGAAAAAAATTAAAGATGTGCTATATAGCATAGACAGATGAAGGTGGAATTCAAATATATATATATATATATATATATATATATATATATATATATGTATATGGAACCTGTGAAAGATGAAGGTTGCAGGGAGGAGGAAGCAAGAGGCGAGGGCATTTGAGTACACAACAAAGACAAAGTTGCTCATTCCTCTACTCATTGCTGCTTTAGTTAAGGTGTTTAAACCAACCTCTAAGAATTCAGTTATCACCAGTACTACTATTATCCCTGCTGCCCACATCCTCTCTCTCTCTCTCTCTCTCTGTGTCTCTGTGCAAATATCTAGCACATGGGGTATGGTTAAATAAGTATGTTATCATGTAAGCAGATGGGGGCATTTTAGTACTTCAGAATGCATTTTCTTTTTGGTTTGTCAATCTCAATTCTCAAATGAACAGTTGAATATCAAAGGACTAATTGTTCAAGAGGCTTCTATTAGGTTAATTATTATTTATAATGATGTTTTGAAAAATGATAAAGAGACTTTTCTGGGTAAAATCCACGCGGTCCGTTTGTCTAGTTGGATTTTTGTTAACGTTGCAATGCATCTGTCATTTTTCCGTCTCATTCAGACTAAAAACCCGAATGTGTTTAACTTTCGAACTCTATCAATAACTCTTCTACTTAGGTTAGTAATTATGACTTATTAGTTTAGTTTTAGTAAGAAAAAAAGTCATTCATGTACCTTGTTATCTTCGTTAAACACAAGTTCACGTATTTTACGACGTCCTCAATATTCCCTCTTGGCTATTGATATAGGCTCTACATTTTTTAAAATATATTTCATATATATATATATATCATTAGAGAGGAAAGTGGGGATGTAATTTGGCCAGATATTTTAAAATTTTCTACCAATCAGGTTGCAGATCTACTCTCATTCCATATGATGAAAGTAGGACTCATGTCTAGGTCTCGCATTACTATCTAATGGATAGAAAAATCTTATATTGAAATTTTCGTTATTCATATCCTATACCATTTTTAAAGCTAGAAATAGGCTATTGGTACTAAGGTATCTACCAATTCTACCTAATCCTCACCAGAATATATATATATATAGACACACACACACACACTACACAAGTGGTCCAAGTGGACACTAACTAACATGTGAAGAAATATGAATCCCTATTAGTATAAATTTGGAATCTTGAGATAAGATTATTTTTTGGAATTGCTATAAACCTGAACTCAATTTGAATCCAACCCACATCCCAATTTCTTATATTTGAGGCAAGATTAAAATGGGTTGGGAAGCTCAAGATGAGTTGAGCTGTTTGAGGTTAGACTAAGTTCCAAACCCATCCGATTGCAGTCTAGTTGTACTCATAACAAAGTGTGTGCATTTACTTGAACTTTTTTAAAAAAAAAAAAAAGTTTCTGACTCACTCAATATTTTAACATAATCAGTCATCTGTAACAAAAAATATATATATAATTTCCTAATTTATTTGTTGCTTTTTTGAGTGTCAGCACCATATTAAAAAAAAAAAAAAAAAAATCAAGAACAAACAATCCCTTTACTAACACCAATTGGTCAAAAGCAATTCAAATTTTACACAAATTGGTGAGTGCATGTCATTGTATATCAAATTAGTACATATATAAATGCAGGGTATGGTCTTCACATTATCAGACACTTTTAAAAATGTTGTTTCACATAGCTTCTATCTTTTACTTTGTCCAGTATTTCTATATCACCATGGCCTTGTTTTGCAAAAGAGGAACTTTATCAATGGAAGAATCATAATCACATAATAGACTGTCCTCCACAATCTTCTTTTCTTCCGCTTTTCCCCAAATTATTGAAAATAAACCAAGTGCTATTTGGTTGTTCCTGTGAGGACTTGTCCTTTTTTATTTTTTTTATATTTTCGAATCCCGGGTCAAGTGCGATTGGATCAGGTAAAGTGTTTGGAGAAAATTTTTTCTACCGCTTTGCATTTGTCATTTTGGGACATTGTGGATGTATATATTTCATTTGGGACACTTTGAAAATCATATCTTATTTTGGGATGATTGCGTAACTATTTTTTAACTATTTTGTGTTTTGGGGCTTTAATGTGAGTTGTGCAGCGGAAGATTACTTGTGTGAAAAGTTTTAGATTTTAAAAATCAATCTGTGTCTTTCTATTGTTAATTCTTTTTACTTAATTTAACAATTAATCAATTAATCACATGCAAAATAATAGTAAATAGAGTTGAGAGATAACATTAAAATTTTTAACGAGGAAACTCCAATTGATAAAATAGACCAACTATTACGGGAAAAAATCTCGTGGACTGTGTAGTTTAAAGTAAACTGATCCACTATATTTGAAACAAAGTACAATAGACTTTGACTCAAGCTCATACCCTATCGTTCTACCAAATACTAATCGCTAACAATCTTCTAGCTTTGCGATGTCCTTTCCAACAGCTCTTGACCTCGGGCTTACTCTTAATCTCTGTAAAAGAATTGTTGGTAAATCAAACAACACTCCTCAAATGCTTTGACCTTTTTAAAGTGTGATTGCTTCACCCATGTTCTTCAAGATATGAATTTGATATAGAAGAAGTAGATTTGCTTTCTCTGATCGTTGTAGATGTAATATTCAATAAACTTTGAACACGGTCAGGAATTGAACAACACTCTAAAATTACTCTTGTATTAATGTGTTTGTTCTAGAAAGAAAGACAAAAAAAATAAAATTTGATTTTCTGCAATATATCTCTCAAATAGGCTTTTAATAAATCAGAAATTGTAATGCAAAAGTCGTATCAACCTAGACGTAAATTAAGGTTTATATAGACTCTTCATAAACCTAGATATGCATAGGAAAAGGTAATTTTTGTGTATAGGACTTTTAGTAAGAAGTCTATACCAATTAAGAAGAATAATCAGAACAAGAAACAAAAGTTACTAAACCTGTCTGAAAGCCTTGAACTAGCCCAAATTTTCATAAAATTTTATGAATATCCATGAACACAAATTTTTCACTTTGCAGAATCTTCAATAAATTTTAAATCTCATAAAGCAATCACAACATGAAATTAAACTTTCAATTTTTAACGAAAAAATTTAGAAATTAATCTAGCAAGTTCATGTGTATGTGTAAAATTCAATCTCATCAATTTTCAATCAAATTTTATCAAATCATTGTCTAAATCATATGGATCAAAAAGCATCAAGATAATATTGTTTTGAGCAATTTTTTCTAAGGTGGCTTTCACACTAAAGAGTAGACAGCAATTCCCCATGTCAACTTGTCTCCACCTTTGTTTTTTACTCAAATAATTCCACTTCAAAGTCTAATGGGATCTTTCGACCTAAACTTAATAGATAGCATTTTCATCAACAAAGAATTCAGCAAATTTTTTAATATTTCTTTTCTTTTCATGCTCCAATTTTTTATAAAACAATAACATTTATACCTTTTATGAACAATATAACCTAGTCAATAATCCAATGATTTTCAATCAAATTTCTCAAAGATGGACTAGTACATAAAAACAATGAACTCAACAGATTCAAGTCTAAAAATCTCATAATCAATGCAAATTGTTTTTCATTGTACGGATTACAATCCAAGAATCTATATTTATCAAATCATCATGTGTCTCAATTTGCATTCAAAGATAGATCATAAATTCAACTAAAAGAATTTTCACAAATATTTCCATGAAAAAATATGATCAGTGTCTCAAAACCTTAACAAAACCATAACCCTAAAAAGTGATGTGCCCTTAGTGTATCAATTATAAAACTATTATCTGTAGCACAAATTCTTCAAGCAAAATGGCTAAGAAAGGGCTATCGATCCACGAAGATTGCTAGCTTATGGCAATCAAATTCTAAGATTAATTTCAAGTTTGATAGAAAACAGTTTGGTTTGATGATTGGTTTGTCACTTAGCATAAATTAAACTTAAAATAGAATTTAAAATGAATTCAATGGATTTGAATATATATATATATATATATATATATATATATATATAGAGAGAGAGAGAGAGAGAGAGAGAGGAGACTAGGGAATTGGCTTCACTGAGATCTCATAAACATGCTTATATGCAATCAACTTGGGGAAACACAATTATATATAACTATGATGTGTAGAAGTATAAAACAACCATAACATTTTCCAGAAATTCAAACAATTCAAAACTAAGCATAACCCATCTTTAGTTGGAATAGCTCATCCACCTAAACTAAATTGTGGTATGAACCATCTTCCCTAGGCATGGCCTATCAAAGTTCTTAAATTGTAAGTTTAAGCAAATGAAATTCAAGCATTTAGTATAGATTATCTTCAGTAGGCATGAACCATCTACCTAACTACATTAATCTAAAGGTGTAGCATGGTCCATCTTCCCTAAGCATAATCTATCCAAATTCTTACATAACTTGCCCATAAAACTATTTCATAAATTAAATCTTATTGTCACTATGAGAAATTAAAGTGTATAACTATGTAAATATGATTTCTAAGACAAGAGGTACATATCAACATAATTTTATGTAGGAATGCAAATCACATACATCATTTCAATGGCACTAAAAACATGGTGTGGTCTCAACCGAGTGCTCAAAATGATGTAAAAAGTGTAAGTGTGTGAAGTGGCCACCACAAAATTTATAAAAACCACTTAACACTATATTATGTAGTATGAGTGAAAAGGGATCGTCCCAATGGATTTGCAAGGTATTACAGAAATCAAAGTTGGATTAGTAGGTCGAATGATCAAACTAAGTGGTTTATTGATTGAATTATACTACAATTTAATTAAAAGCAATGCAATGTAAAACAAGCTAAAGTAAATGAGGTGTAAAGAATGAGAGAGGGGTCTTAGGATATAAAGTTCACCACTAAGCTTCACCTCACTAAACATCTAGTATTTGTCAATTTAGGGGGATTAAATGTTGTAAAACAAATGTTTGTGTGTGCTACCAATTGAATCAATAAGTGTGGATGGCAATAACAAATGTAACTTGTCTACCTACGCTAAGGTGTAATACAAATTATCAAGCTAAAGCCATTAATCCATTTAATAAATCAACAATTGGAGCATACAAAAATCTAGAGAAATGCACTACTTGCATCATAAGCATGGATCATCAAACAATAAGCATGGATTGTCAACCTATCTAGAAAATTAAAGCAACTAAACTACAATTATACTAATGATAAGGAAATTAAACTAATTAAGCTAAGGAGGTAGCACAATCCATCAAGAAATAAGCATAATCCATCAAATAAATCACAAGAGTAATCAATTAAGCACCATGTATAAATAGAATTAAAATGCATAATTTTAATACACGTAGACATGCATCTCATGTAAAGAATCAAGTGTAAGCACATAACCATCCATTCCATCACACATAGACATATGAATATAATTGAAAGATTAATCACACAAATCATGTAAAAACAATATTTATATAAGCATGAGGTCAATACAATATTTACAACATAAATCCCCACTAATTAAAAAATACTAAAGTTTAGGAGGTAAGCCTAGGTATATCTCTAGCCCCAAGAGAATGATCTAACCACTTATAGTTGTTGTCATCCAACCCTCAAGGGCTGTCTTCATGGTTGAATTCATCTTCCTCCTCTTGGTGTTCTTGATAGAAACCCTAGAAAATAGAGAGAGAATCCTCCTAAATTGTGTCTAGTTTCTCTCTAATTTCTAGCCAAAAGTATCCAGCTAACTAACCTCTCTTTCTAAAAATAACCAAATCCCTCATATAGGTAGCTCAAATGACACCCCCAAATGGTCAGAACTTGTTCAGTAGGACCTCCAAATGATTGCACCACGAGTACACCTTCAATTAGGCTTGAAATCTGTTTTGCACAATTTTTTAGGAAGTTCGATCGATCACGCTATTGCTTCGATCATCGAAGCATGGCAGCGCACTTATTTAGATAAGGACAAAGGTTGAGATATTTATGGGGAAACGGACAAAAGTGGTTATGAGGATAAGATCAAAGGGTTTGATTGATCAAAGAAAAGGTTGGATCGATCGAAGAGGAAATTTTCTTGAGGATAAGAACAAAAGCTCGATCCATCAAGGCAGGGTTGGAACGATCACAACGTGATCAATCATAACATAGTTCAATCGATCGTACAGAGACAATTTTCACCATTTTGCTTCCATTTTTCTCCTTCTCTTCACTAGATTTTGGATTGCTTCCTCCAATGCCCTAATTCAACTGATTTGGCTTGTTTTGGGGTTAAGTACCTGAAAAGGAAAAAAACATAAAATTAGACTAAAGCGAAAAAATAAGATAGAATAAGGTCCTAGTATACTCAAACTTAAAGGGTTTAAATACGTATTTTTTAGTGCTTATCAACAATTATATATATATATATACACACACACACATAGACATAACCATGGGCCTATGATATACGCCCATCTAGGCTTTACATTCTTAAAGCCTTCTCCATCAAAGCCCAACCAACTAAAATAAATAAACCAATAATAAACCAATTAAATAATTAATCACACAAATAACAAATAAGCAATTTAATTAACACCCATAATCAAAACAACAAATATGGCCACATAAATCAATTAGAACAATTAAACCAAATAAAATAAAGACCCCGAAAACTAGGTGTATTACATGTTTTGACTTACTTGAATTGTTGTGAATTCTTATAATTGCTTAGGTGGTTATGCATTTACCTCACTTGCGATGTTGTAGTCTTGGATAGCACGCTTATATGTGAATATCAAGTTATTATACTAATATCCTTTGACGAAATGTTTAAATGAGCTAAAATAAGGTATCTTGGTAACAATTGCTCTTTTTTGTATTATTGCATTTATGAGTATACTATGGTAGTATTTGGACCTTAGGGCATGACCCGTTTGGATACCATTGGCTTATGTGCGCTTGTGAAGTGTAATTTGTATATTTATTGGTACATGCTTACCCTGTGGAATTGAATTCTGATTTTAGGGATATGCTCAGGGATTATTGTACGGTTTGAATCATGACAGCTATGGCTTGGCACTAGCAGGTAAGCTTGGGCTTTCCAACTTTATAATGGCCATTATGTTTGTTCCCTGAGGTTTAGTAGACTGAAAATAACAATTTAGATAGTTTGTTATTGGCGGTTTTATTCCGGAAAAACTACTTTTATCAATTCATGCGATATGCATGACTGGGGGTGTGTGTGTATCGAGATATCCCTCGCTTTTGTTGATTTCGAATTTATTTTTAAGTTGGCATATATCCATCTGTAGTTGCAACTTCGTTTACTGTTATTGTTTCCAATTCCAATTTTTGTTGGAAGTTGGCATCCATGTGTAGTTGGGACTTGAATACTTGGTCAATAACAGATACATATAGTTATGATAGTATGCCTGATGGTTTTCAATTCATGTTGTTTGGGTTGGGTTTGGGTTGTTTTTGGTTAATGGTTTGCAGATTATATACTGGTGCCGGCGTGATTTGGGTTGGAAGATGATTGGGTTGTGGCTTAGGGTTGATTAGGATACACACACACATAGTCTATTTGTCTGTGTGTGTGTGTCGTGGTTGGATAGGTTGAGGTTGGAGGTAGCGGTGATGGAGGTGGTGTTGATGGTGGTTGCAGTGGGTTTGTGGTTCGATTGGGTTCAATGGTTTGTGGTTCAACATGAACTGTTTGAGTTTCTAAGTGGGTCACGTAGATGAGCGGTGATGGTGATGTTGCTGGTGGTGGAGGTGGGGGAGATGGTGGTGATTGACGTGGTGGTGTTGTCTGTGTCGGTCACGCTGGTTAGAAGATTTTTAGGTCACGTATATTTTCTTGTGCTATTGTGTGAAATCCCTTAGACTATGTCGTTTTTTTTAGTTTAGGTCTCTTTTGCATTTTTTTTTTGGTGAGTTGTCTCCCATTGGTTGGAGGGATTTCTTTGCCACGTTAACAACTTAAAGATGACAATATATCAAACTCGCGTCCTTCTATGGTAAAGACAAAATTGTCCTTTGCCTTTTCCAGTGACTTAATGTGTAAAATACAACAAAATAATAATTGAGGGAATTTCTTGTAATTTAAGGAGGTTTCTTGCAAAACCTCAATATTTGAGGGGGTTACTTACATTTTACCTTAAAAAAATGGCATTTCACAAATTTTTTCTTTTTTTTTTGGCTGTATAACAATTTAGTTGTTGCTCTTTTGAGTGTTAGTGTTTTTTATTTTAAAAAAATGATAAAAACCCCTTATAGGTATTATTATAGATGTGTGTTTTATTAATTTAAACACTTTGATACGAGAGAAATTTCATTTTTATTTATCACTGAATAAGAATTTTTATTGATCACTAATGATTGGAGTCGCCAAAAATAAAACAAAAAATGAAAAAAACAAAAAAATAAAAAACAAAACAAACAACCAACCAAAAAAACAATCGTAAATTGTAGCATTACTCTTTCGATTCAGTTCTTATACATTCACAATATTAAAGTAAAATAATCTTGTACAAACAATTCCTATGCAAAAGCAATACAAAGTGATTATCATTGTATATCGAATTAGTAAATAGATGCAGGGTCTGGTCTTCACATCATCAAACACTTGAAAAAAATGTGTTTAACATAGCTTCCATTACTTTGTATAGAAATTCTATACCACCATGCCCTTCGTTTGCAAAAGAGGAACTTTATCAGTGCAAGCATCAATATCACAGAGTGAATTATCCTCAACAATCTTCTCTTCTTCGGTTTTTCCCCACATTACAGAATAGAAACCAAGTGCTATTATGACTGCTCCAATCACACTGCACATCATTTCAATTAAACCATAATGGTTACTATTTTCATACTTAATTATCAAGTAGAAAAGCAAAGCAAGTGATCAAGGCCATCATATTACCCATATATTCCTCTGGCATTGGCTCAGTTTCAGCGTGAAAGATTTTTTCTAGGAAGAGATTTTTCTATTTCATATAAAAGATTTTTTTTAATTTTTACTTTTTCAGTATTTGGTAAAGGTTTAAGTAGATGGAATGTATAAAATAACTTGTCGAAAATTAATTAAATTATTTTGTTAGGTTTTAATGTTTTTTTTTTCGTAAATATTTTACAACAACCAAAAAATAAAAATAAAAAATATTTTACATCCAAACAATTAGAAACATGGACATGAAAACATCCAAACAATTAGAAACACGGACATGAAAAACACAGATATATTTGTTTTCAATCAAAGATATTGCAATGACATCCCAAGTGAAAAAAAACCAGCTCAATTAGTGAGGCTCCGTTTTGTTAGATCAAAATTAATAGTGGAAAGTGAAAATAAAAGAAAGTCAACTGAATGAAAAGAAAATAAATTCTTCCATAAATTTTATTAAGAAAATTATAAAAATTACCATTTTATGATTTGAATAGCATGAAACTCACCAAAAAAAAAAGCATTATTGTAAGTTCATATGACTTTCTCAAGAAATCAAAACATTCTAGTGTTTTTAGTAGGAAAATATTATGAAAAAGTCGAGTGGTTATCGAAGGCAATTTTCCTTCAAATTTTTCTTTTTCCTGCTAACCAAACTTGTAAGGTTTTCAAAAAAAATTTATTTCCTTTCTTTTCTTACTATTTCTATCTAACCAAACCAAACCACAAAGCCTGAGATATGAAAAATATAAAGAATGTACCTTCCAATATAGAGTGTGTCTCCAAGAAAAGTAGTCCCCATGACAATTGCAATGACCATACCAACTGGCTTAATCATTGTCACAAATAGAGGCCCCTTCTTGTGTAAAGCCCATGAATAAACAACATTTCGAAGTGAAATCACAAAAATTGCCTAGAGATTCAGCAGCATATGTATATCAGTCATTGCATATGCAAATAAATAAATAAGATTGTTAGAAACAAGACACGAAAAATCAATCGAGATTCTTCAACGTGCTTACCGAATACACAATAGTAACCAACTCTATGTCAGGCCTTATTCTCCAAGCAGACGGGTTCCTTTCCATAAACAGAGCAATAATGGCGGTTTGAATTGTCGCGAATATGCAAGAAATGAGAGATACCATCAGCTCTGCAGGGTAGTCCTTCATAACCCACGTCTAGAGGCGTAAAATGGACACATGTTTAGATGATTTTTGAACCGGTAATGCCTGCATAGAAAGTTCTTGAAAGAACACAAACAAGTATACTCATACCTGGACAATAAACAATACTGAAATCAAGAAGCTAGCAGCAGAAAGGAGAAATCCTCCTATCACCCAGTTCGATCGCGGGGACTGAAGAAGTTGATCATTCAGTGAGGTAGAATGCGATGGCGCGAAAATGATTGCAGGGCCTTTGTAGAAAGTCACAACAAATGCCCCTATGATTGATACTATGGTACCGACAGACTTCATCTGACTGCTCTTCATTTTCAGGTTTATCTTTTCCATCCTAAATCCATCCATTAGATTCAATGAGAAATATGCAAAAAGTAGTCATTTTAACACTCCACAGAGTTAGATTTCTAGGTTTGCTTTTTTGAAATTCAAACTTCACTATTTCCAAAAATACATGAGGGCGTTCTCACGTGAATTCACACCCTCGGGATATAGACTTGCTCGTATGAGAAATAGTTGTGAGGAAGCATCAAGTTTCAATCTAGATTCCAGAAATCCTTTTAAAACGTAGCCAAATTTACGAAAGGGCTTTTGGCCTAGCGCCATAATCTTCCTATCTTCAAAGAGGAGGAGAGGGGGTCGAACCTAGACGTCGACAAAAAGAATGTATTTGTTTCACCATTCGAAAAAATTAAAAAAAAAATTGTAAAACCAAATTCTCTCGGATGAGTAGATTCTGCAGCCAATTATTTTTGTGTAATATTTTTTTTGGGTACTAACAAATTCCAGATTAATTTATATATGTAAGAATATCAGCAATAACCAATATAAAACAAATAAAGCATTTAAGAGACAATAAATTTCTCTATGTATTACTAAAACAACAAAAATGATCGATTTCCATTCTTAAGAGCTAGGAAGCACGGACACTTCTACGAAGGAGCCATACCCGTGTCGGATAATGAAGCTCCTCAGATACATGTCCGACACTTCATATACATGTCCATAAATAAAAATTAATTTTATTACTTTGGACACTTCACCGACACTTCGTTGACACTTACTTTTTGGATATTTCTAACACAAGTCTACCCACTAATCTTGAAAATAATATGAATACTATCATGACAAAGTAGTGAAATACTGGTATATATGATATAAAAATCATTACAATAATAACATAATATCATTTTCTAATTCATTTCAGAGCAACTCTTAGTATAGAAATTGTAAATGAATTAAAGTTTTACAATACTATTACTGAATAGATGTATAAAAATAAATATTTATATTTACATGTAGCCATGTCCATGCCATACTCGTGTCCTTCTTTTTTAAAATTTGAAGTTTTTTTTTTTTTTTTTTTTATACGATTCTCTCTTTAGGGCGAACCTAGGGTTTACTAGGGTTTATAGGGAAGACGACCTCAATGGAGGAGGGCCTCCCCTCCTCTTCTACTGCGGGTAGTATCCCAACCACTCCTTTTTCCTCCCCCATTAGTCCTTCTTGGAGTTCTTTATTCCAGGGCTCTTCTAAAACAGGTTTTACGCCATTGACTTATTATAGTGAAAATCGAAACAAATATTGTGTGATCATTGAGGATGCGGATATGGAAGATAAAATGCGGTTTTGGGAGAATTCTGTGATCTACTATGTGTTAGGGTCCAAGCCATATTTTCCTCACTTCAAGAATTACGTTCAAAATAGATGGAATAAGAGTGCAGTTGTGGTTTCGTTAAAGGACAGCTTCTTTCAGGTTAGATTAACAGACGAAAAAGATGTTATGCAGATTTTGTCCCGCTTCCATAAGTTTCAAGGTAGAACAGTGATTGTCAAGAAGTGGCACAAAAGTATTCTTCTGGAGAGGGATATTTTAGCAACGGTACCGGTTTGGATGAACCTATATGATCTACCTGTGCATGCAAGAAGTGGTACATCGATTTCAAAGGTTGTCTTGAATATAGCTAAGCCATTATTTATGGATGATATTAAACAATGTAAAGAAAGGGGATTGTATGTGAGAGTGTTGGTTGAGATGGAGGTTACAGAAGGATTTCCAGAAGTTATAAACACAATGCTACATGATTGTCAATGCAAGGTACAAGTTGAGTATGATTGGAAGACAGTGTTTTGTAAGATTTGCAAGAGCACTGATCACAATGAGAAAACTTGTTCAAAGAATAAAACTACGAAACCTAAGGTTGTTGGACAGTGGGTGGTTAAAAACAATGCTAAGGCAATTGAGATTACAGAATAAAGGGTGGGAAAGGGTTCTGATGTAGAAGGTCCTTCAGAGGAATTGGGAATCTCTTTACAGCAAGAGATTATCAGTCAAAAGGAGGATAAGGAAGGCTTATTCAAGTCATGGCTAATTCAAGATTGAAGGCTAAGGATAAAGGTGTGATGGTAGTGCATACACAAGTAGCTTCTATTAATGCCTTCCAATTGCTTGATGAAGGTACTGAAAGAGGGATACAATGGGAGGAAGAGATAGAGATGGAAAAGAGTAATATTGTTGTTGGAGAAGAAGAAATGGTAGGCACAGACCAAGGGGATGTGATGCAGATAAGTGAAACAAGTGTCTCTACAAATACTAATTTAGAAGAGTCCCCGGTAGGGGGAGGGTCTTCTAAGAAACAAAGGAGTAAATCTAAGAAGAGAAGTGGAGATTGACCCTAACACTATCAGAATCACAAGGGGAATGATGGCAAGTGGGAGTATCCCACCACCTATTATTTAATGATTGGGATGTGGAATGTTAAAGGACTCAACAGGCAGAGCATGCAGGTGGAAGTTAAGGCCTGGTTAAGTAAGTTCTCAATTGGTATAGGTAGTTCAGTTGAAACCAGAACAGGAAGTCATAACTTCCAAAGGATTATTTCAAGGATCAGGCCTAATTGGGCTTGGGCAAATAATTACAATGCTGTGGATGGTGGGAGGATTTGGTTTGGATAGGATTTTTTGAGGCTAGATGTGAGGATTTTGGAATCTGGACATTAGATGATGCTGTTTAAGGTTGAAGTTAGAGGGACTTCAGTGTAGTTTTTTATTGCTTTTGCATATGTTGAGAATATTAACAATGAAAGAAGATAGTTGTGGACAGATCTTGTTGAATGTTAACACTTGATAAATGGCCCTTGGTTGCTGAATGGGGACTGGAATGTTGTTAGGTATAATTCAGAGAAGAAAGGAGGGCGCAGACTCTCTCCTACGGTGCTGCATGATTTTAACCATCTCATTCATTAGCTATGTCTAGTGGACAGGCTGACTGTCAATGGGATATTCACTTGGTGTAACAATAGGTTTTTACAGAGAAGGATATATGCTAAATTGAATAGAGGGCTTATGAATGAGGGATGGACTAATACATTTCCCAATTCACAAATTTTTCTTACTCCTCATCTGATATCAGACCATTGGGGACTGTTTGTTAAATTCCCATTACAGGTAGCAGATAGACCTAAGCCATTTAGGCTATTGCAGTTGTGGAATAAACAGGCTGCAGTAACAAAACTTATATCTCATATATCCTATACAAGGTATTTTGTATAAACTTAGATTAGCCAAAACTGTAGTTAAGCAATGGAATATAGATAAGTTGGGGTCAGTGTATGAGGAGGTTATTAATTGTAGGTGGAGGTTGGAGGAGGTACAGGTAGAATTGGCTTGTAATTTCATGAATGAGGAGCTAATTTATCAGGAGAAAAGTTGCAGGCAGAAGCTGGAAAGTGATGTTTCAAATGAAAATATATTATTGCACCAGAAGACCAGAGTTGGGTGGATAAAGGAGCAGGATGGGTGTTCTAAATTCTTCCATTAGAAAATCAAGGAGCATAGAGTGGGGAATAATATTACAGTTATACAAAATGTTGATGGAGAGCTCATTCATAATCCTTGTGTGATACAGGATAGGTTCATTCAGCATTTCAAGAAGGGATTTACTAATGATATTCCAGCTACTTTGGTACCAAGTGTTGACTTTATCAAAAAGAGAGTTGCTGTAATGACTCGATCATTTTCCTTACTTTCCCTTTTCTCAGATTTTTACGGATATTTTTTTTCCGTTATCTTTTCTTTTTTGAGTTCGGTTTCTCGTCACTTGGTGTCATCTTGAGTACTCGGGAATGATTTCCGAGACTTTTTCCTTTAGATTGACAACTTCCTTTAAGAACCGAGTCAATTCCACATTTTCATAAAAACTATTCACTTTTCGTCCTTTTCTCCGTTCGTCTCTTTGTTGGCACAACCTCACTTTTCATGTTCGGAGTTGAGTTTTAACTTCATGAGTTTTCATTTCAGCTGATTTCCTCGAAACGCGTAACTTTACTTTTGGAGAAAAACTGGCCGGTTGTTTCCTTTTCCCGTAGGGGCATGGATGAAAGGATTCTTCAGAAACATTCTTGTTTCTTAGGGTGTTCTTCATAAATATCTTTTGAACATATTTATTTCAGGGGTCTTTAAGAAAATATCTTTTGGAAGATATTTTCATTCTGGGCCAATTTTGCAGTTATCACTTTTTGTAGAAGCCATTGTGTAATTTATGAAAGTTATTGCAAAATGCCTCGTTTTGAGCCTAAATCCTCATATGGGATTCATTTTCACTTTTTTTCAAGTCACGTACTCTTAGAATTATCTTCTGGTCGTTTACCCTAGTTTTAGGGTTTCTGACCCCAGTTACCGCTAAACTTGTTCGGGGCATATCTTTCTGCTCGGGACTCGATTTTCGATGTCATTTCTTTCGTTATTTATTTTATCTCATTTTGGTTCTTTTTCATTTACAGTGTTTTGCCGTTTTAGCGCGTCTGCTTAAATTTCACTTTTCCGGATCTGGCAGGACCCGTTCGGGGCACTTTTAGGGTTTTTCTATAAATAGGGGGTTAGTAAATGAAAAGTCAACTTTCTCATCTCTTTCCTCTCTTAGCCAGCAGCCATGGTAGCCAAGGGGCTGCCACCCTTCTCTCTTCTCTTCCAACCACTTCCTTTTAGTAAAATGTCGTAGTGCTTTAATGTTTAATGTTCGCCTTGACGAGGTCTTCGATTCCAACCGATTGGAATCTTGTTTTGGCCATTTTTTAAATTCGGGTTTGAAGCCAAGTTTGGATTTTGGTATGACCTCCTTAGTGTTTAATGATCACCTTGTTGTCCTCGACAAAGACAAAACCCCAAAGTATCGTCAGATTTGGAGCACTTTTCTTTCGGTAGGGATTTTTGATTTCATCTCAAATTAAGGTAGGGGATGTTATAAGTTTATATTTGTGTTGTCTTGCATGTTATTGATGCTTATACAACTTGTATGCATACTTTTGTTCATAATCTAGAATTTAATTTAATTAT